AACAGAAATCAGATCCACGACACTGCCGCACACCCCAAAAAGAACAATTGGATCCACTGGAGTTTTCATATTTCTTAATCCAAGAAGAAAAACGCTCGGCCTGGGGAAGAAGGATTCGGCACCCTTCTAACACCTGCACGCAGTGGCGGCAGTGGCAGAACACACATAAACCATGCATCACGCGTCGGTTTCATTATCCCCAAAACGTTTGCGCAAGAGTGCATGGTGTTCATGGTGGAGACGCATTTCGAAACCCCACTGAAGGATTCGGCACCCTTCTCGCCCTTGCAAACAGGGGCGGCGGCGGAAGAACACACTCACCACACACCACGCGTCGGGTTCATTATCCCCTGACATTTACGAAAGCGAGCATGGTGTTCTAGTGGGAGGGACGCAGTTCGAAACCCCACTGCAGGATCCGGTTCCCTTGTTGCACTTGCACGCGGGGGCGGCGGCGGCAGAACACACTCACCATACATCACGCGTCGGTTTCATTGCCCCCAGGAATTTGCGAAAGGGCGTAGGGCGCTCGTGGGGGACACGCGGTTCTAAATCCAATTTACGCAGGCAGAAAGATTTTCCCCTTGAGCCCCAAATGTCGAAAGCGACGGCACCCGCCCCTTCCCCCTTCCTCCCCCCTCCTCGTGCCTCCTCCCTCCTCCTTAACCCCTTCTGTCCTGGGAAAACACCCTCTCCCCAGTAGAATCATAGCTTTGGTCAGCAGGCCCACAGTTCTGTGGATGGCATGATGTTTCACGCGTGGTGCCTCACGGATCCCATATCCCCTGGGTCGGGGATGCAAAATCTCATTATACGCACATTCCCGGGAAAAAAACGTGTACACGTTGGTTTTATTCACACACGGGGCATTGGATCCGCGCAAGACAACAATGAGATCCACCGCACTGTCGCTCACCCGAAACAAAAAAAATGGTCCACTGTTGATCTCATATTCGGAATCTAGAAAGGAAAAAACTTTCGGCATGGGGACGAAGGATTCGGCACCCTTCTCGCACTTGCACGCAAGGGCGACGGCGGCAGAACACGTTCACCATACATCACGCATCTGTATCATTATCACCGTGACATTTGCGAAACCACGCATGGTGTTAGTGGACGAGACGCATTTCGAAACCCCACTGAAGGAGTCGGCACCCTTCTCCCACTTGCACGCGGGGGCGGCGGTGGCAGAACACACTCACCATGCATCACGCGTCGGTTTCACTAGCCCCAAACATGTGCGAAAGAGTGCATGGTTAGTGGGAGAGACGCAGTTCGAAATACCAGTGAAGGACTCGGCACCCTTCTCGCACTTACACGCAGGGGCGACGGTGGCAGAACACATTCACCATACATCGCGCGTCGGTTTCACTGTCCCCTGACATATGCGAAAGAAAGAGCGCATCGCGCTACTGGGGGAGACGCAGCTCGAGCTCGAAATCCCATTTACGCAGGCAGAAAGATTTTCCTCTTGAGCCCCAAATGTCGGAAGCGACGGCATTGCCGCCCCTTCTCCCCTCCTCCCCCCTCCTCGTGCCTCTTCCCTCCTCCTTCCCCCCTCTGTCCTGGGAACACCCCCCGTCCCCTGTAGAGTCATAGCTTTGGTCAGCTGGTCCACAGTTCTGTGGACGGCATGATGCCTTTCGGGCGGCGCCCCGCCGATCCCATGTCCCCTGGGCCCGGGATCTGAATTATCATATATTTATTACCCGGAAAATAAAAAAAAATCCCGGCAAAGCAACCTAACAGCGATGTGTAGAAGCATATCTGGAAGCATTCCCCTTAAGATTCAGAGGAAAATCCAGTTGTAGAATTCTGCTGTTCTCGCAGTCGTAGTCGCATTCGCGATGACAGTCGCAGCGGCAACGGCAGTCGCAGTCACAGCCTCAGCCTCAGCCTGCCTCAGCCTCAGCCTCAGCCTGCCTCAGCCTCAGCCTTCAGCCTCAGCCTCAGCCTCAGCCTCAGCCTCAGCCTCAGCCTCTGCCTTCAGCCTCAGCCTCAGCCTCAGCCTCAGCCTTCAGCCTCAGCCTCAGTCTGCCTTCAGCCTCGCCTCAGCCTCAGCCTCAGCCTGCCTCAGCCTCAGCCTCAGCCTGCCTCAGCATTCAAAATGTGGCCCAGGAATGGAGTTCTGGGAACTAGAAGAACACGAAGTGGCCTACAGTTGGCTCCGGGCATTCAAAATCATGCCCAGGAATGGAGTTCTGGGAACTTGAAGAGCACGAAGTGGCCTACAGTTGGCTCCGGGCATCCAAAATGTGGCCCGGGAATGGAGTTCTGGGAAATCGAAGAGCACGAAGTGGCCTACAGTTGGCTCCGGGCATCCAAAATGTGGCCCGGGAATGGAGTTCTGGGAAGTCGAAGAGCACGAAGTGGCCTACAGTTGGCTCCGGGCATCCAAAATGTGGCCCGGGAATGGAGTTCTGGGAGCACCAAGAGCGATTTTGCGAGGATGTCCCAAGAGATTTCGGCTTCGGCGGCAGCCTGTCCGGGTCCCGCCCAGACCCCCCTGAAGAGTCATGATGCTCTCTTTTGAGACCACTAGAAACCTATTATCCCGGCAAAGCAACCTAACAGCGATGTGTAGAAGCATATCTGAAAGCCTTCCCCTTAAGATTCAAATGAAAATCCAGTTGTAGAATTCTGCTGTTCTCGCAGTCGTAGTCGCATTCGCGATGACAGTCGCAGCGGCAACGGCAGTCGCAGTCACAGCCTCAGCCTCAGCCTGCCTCAGCCTCAGCCTCAGCCTGCCTCAGCCTCAGCCTGCCTCAGCCTCAGCCTCAGCCTGCTTCTGCCTTCAGCCTCGGCCTCAGCCTCAGCCTGCCTCAGCCTCAGCCTCAGCCTCAGCCTCAGCCTCAGCCTCAGCCTCAGCCTGCCTGCCTCAGCCTCAGCCTCAGCCTCTGCTTCAGCCTCAGCCTCAGTCTGCCTTCAGCCTCGGCCTCAGCCTCAGCCTGCCTCAGCCTCAGCCTGCCTCGGCCGCAGCATCAGCCTGCCTCAGCATTCAAAATGTGGCCCAGGAATGGAGTTCTGGGAACTAGAAGAACACGAAGTGGCCTACAGTTGGCTCCGGGCATTCAAAATCATGCCCAGGAATGGAGTTCTGGGAACTTGAAGAGCACGAAGTGGCCTACAGTTGGCTCCGGGCATCCAAAATGTGGCCCGGGAATGGAGTTCTGGGAAATCGAAGAGCACGAAGTGGCCTACAGTTGGCTCCGGGCATCCAAAATGTGGCCCGGGAATGGAGTTCTGGGAAGTCGAAGAGCACGAAGTGGCCTACAGTTGGCTCCGGGCATCCAAAATGTGGCCCGGGAATGGAGTTCTGGGAGCACCAAGAGCGATTTTGCGAGGATGTCCCAAGCGATTTCGGCTTCGGCGGCAGCCGTTCCGGGTCCCGCCCAGACCCCCCTGTGGAGTCATCTGCTGCTCTCTTTTGAGACCACTAGAAACCTATCAGCAAAAGCTGTTATGTTAGGTAATCAGCAAAAGCTGTTAGGTAAATATACATACATTGGTTTCCCACGCACGGGACAGTGGATCCGCGCAAGACGGAAGTAGGATCCACGACAATGTCGCACACCCGAAAAAAAGTAGATCCATCGGTGTTCTCATACTCTTGATCCAAGAGGAAACACTTTCGGCCTGGGGATGTAGGCCTCTACCCCGAACGGACAAGGGCGCCACTGTTAATCGGGGGGTGCGTAGCTTCTGTTCAAACTGGGGCTCTCGCGTGATAACTATTCAAGCGTGTAGCTCCAACATTTACCATCTCTCAAAACTCAAAGATCCCGCTTCTCCTTCCCTGTACGTATCCCGCCTCTCCGGTCCATTCCTCTCAACTCTCCACTTTCCTTCCTGGGGAGCGCATGCGACAGCCCGCCCATGGCCGACCTAGAAGGCGCCTCGAGGCTCCTCGGGACATCACACCCCGCTCGGGCCTCCCGCAAACCCCGCCTAGCGTGAATGTGAGGTAGACTCGCTCCCCCTCAAGATACGTACACACTTTTAAAGTCGGCGGCGCAGAGGAGCCTCAGGCACGGTCGGCAGATGGAGGCGCCAATGAATTGCGAACAAACTTAGTCGAACGCGCCATGAGAAATCAATCCAGCCACGGCCACGCAGATAGGTGGTGGAAAAAATGAGGCGCTGTAAAGCCAGGATGCAGCGGCCAACGAACCCGCGATACACACACTCTCACACACACACACACTTTTTGCGTCAGCGGCTAAGCAGAGTCACTGCGCTGGCGAAAGAAGCGAAACGGGGCAGGCGTTACGTTAAGCGAATTGTGCCACCATGAAGGGGGGGGAAGATGACGACAGGGCGACGGCCGAGAGGAGGAGATACATACACAACGTAGTGTACTCGCTCGGTGAAGACGCGCCCGCTCGCCTGTAGATTATTCGATGCTGCGATTTTGCCTTCCCCGCATTGCCCTAAAATGACCCCAATAGGTCCATGGTTGCCCCAAGATGACGTCAATTTTGTTTCAAACAGCCTCGGCATGGCCCTAGAATTGCCCCAGATACCCCAGCACAGCCCCAGCATGGACCAAAGATGAGCCCGAAAGGTCCACAATACGTATTCAGAAGGCCAAAGGCCCTGCCAAGATTGCCCCGAGGCCTATTTTGAAATAGCTTTCGAATAACAAAACTCCACGAGGGCGGGTCCAGGGGCATCTTTAACTGGTCTTGGGGCCTCCTGAGCCAGTCTTGCGACGTCCTGAGCCAGTCCTGCGACCGCCGTGGATGCTCGGCCATGCGCGCATCTAGCCACGACCCCGATCACGCTTTGAAACAAAATTACATCAGAACAAAAAAATCGTCAGAAAGCCCCCCTTGACTGACAAATTTTGGCGATCCGACGTAGCTCCCATGTGGGATCCCCAGGTGCGACTCGCTCTTTGCGGGCTCAGAAACTGATCTTTCCTTGCATCGCATCTGTTCAACAGACGTGCCAATAGCTGACACTGACACTTGGTGGAAACGTGACACTGCCCTCCCTGCCTTGTCGTCGGCAGCCATCGCTGGCACTCACCCTGCGCCAGCCGCACGCTGGCAGGCCGGCCCACCGCGGGGGAGGCCGCCCTTGGACCGAGGCGGCAGGGGGGCTCCTCCCTCTTCCCCCGCCTCCTCGGAAACCCTAGGTCCAGAACTGCTGGTGTCTCGCACTTCCTTCCGCCGCCCTCCGCCGCTGGCGGAGCCGCCGCCGTTTTACTTCCGCCCACTTCCCCCCGAATTCCGCCGGCTTCCGCCGAGGGCGAGACGCGCCAGAGGCAAGGCCATTCCTGACACGCGCCATGTAGGCGACATGTTCCCGAGCTGGCTCCGCCTGGGGGGGGCAGCAAAGGGCGCAACCCTTCGGATATCCGCTGCCCCGTGTCGACTCATCACGAGGGTTCCTGGCGCGCCAAGCCACCTGTTGGCTGGCCTCTGCGAACCCTCGCCACAAGCCCTTCGCCATCTGCTGCTCCTCGCCGCTGGACCCCTGCCAGGACCGCGTCGGCCATGGAAACCCGTGCACCTGTTTCTACTAACGCGAAGGAGCCCAGCGGCAAGGCGAGGAAACAGCCTAGCACGGACTTCTCCAAGACGGCTCTCGATACCCCCACAACGACCACCAAGACGGTCCAAGATGGCCCCAAGACGGCATAAAAGCCCAAAAAGGCCCCAAGATGCACAAGACCTCGACCAATCGAGGAATGAAGGGGGGTGGTATGATCTGGAACGCGTCGGCGAAGGACACATACCGAAGGAACCCTAAACACATGGGACAGCCATGGCACCAAGTCACGATATCAGACAGCCCCAAGATGCAAAGAGAAAGACCCCTCGAGGATACCAGACGGCCAACGGGAGTACCGAAGATGATTCCTCCTCCTCCTCCTCCTCCTCCTGCGTTCCCTCTTTCTGCTCCATGTTTCCTCCGCGTTCTCACCCTCTCCAGTGGCCTCCATCACAAGTACCAAATGGCCACGTGGCCTACCTCGGAATGGACGTCCCCTGACGGCGCTGCCACGGTGGACTCTCCTACATGGTCAGGAGGCATCTATCTAAATTGATCCCCACCTAGGTGCTGCTCAGCTGGTCATAAAGCCGCACAAGAAAATGGAACCGAAAGAAATAGATTGAGCTGAACCCCCCGCATTCCCATGGCGGTGGGGCCTTCTATAGGAATAGACTCCTCTCAATCAGGGGCGGATAGACCATGGCGCAACGTCGCGAGGGATAAAACAGAGGAGGGAGAAGGACGAGAAGACCACAAGACCACAAGGCAGACTGGGAACGCCACGTGAGCCAACCGGCAGTGGGCCATACAAGGAGACGAGCCGCGCCATGTAAGACAAGGGCCGAACTCGCAGTGTGTGTGTGTACTGGTTTATCCCCTGAGGCACAGACAGCCATTGACAATACACACGAGACCAGAGGGGAGGCGGGGGTAGGAAGGATGGAAAGGGGGGTATGGCACACGACAACGATGATCTTTTGTCACGAGCCGAGACAGAAGCTCAATATCCGACATATCATTACAGGGATCTCAGAATTCGACAAGTTCACTCGTTGCTCATTTTGAAACACTCTTCGGCCACGAACGTGCCCTCCCGCAGGCAAGGGTTAGAAAGAAGCGTAAGAAAATACTTAATTCCTGCGCATTTGCCTGGGTGTCGGCCGTCATGTAGGAACATGGAATTAGCTGGATAGCGATACTGTGGTGCCTCGAGGAGCAAACCATCCACCAGCTGATGATAATCGAAGATTTCATCTTCGCGGAATTGTGTGCGTATACATTCGGTCATCATCTCCAAGGCCTCTGGCATTTCACCAATGATAGGGGGGCTTTTTAGCGCTGTAGGGGGCGTTCGGAACAGCACTTTGCTGGACGGAAAGACACGTCGAACGCGCTCCAATAGCTGAGGGATTTCAGTGTTGCACCATCTACCTACCTCATGCTTAGGGGTGGGATAGGTATCCATGGGGGGCTGTCCTGCGTTCATCCACCATCTCGCCAGATCCCACAGTGAAGATTCCACAAGTACAACAGTAGGCACAAGTGTTTCTAGTAAGCGGACGGCCACGTCTGGAGCGTCGATATCAATAATGTCCTCTGTGGTTGCATGTTGTAAATCACCGGCGGTTGTCCGCCACCGTGCCTTCGTCACGCTCGGGCGCATTAGATTGCCTGTTGATTGTCCCGGCCTCTTTACGGCTCCAAAGCAGCCAAAGACCGCCCCGAGACGGCTGCAAGATGCACGAAGACCAGCCCAGAGCAGACTAACGATCCCCCTAAGGCTCTACAAAGTTCCCAAGAGAGCCCAAGATGCCTAGAATAAATGTCCAAAGAGCCTTCCAGCGAGGCCTTCCAACGCCAAACGCAATGGAAAGCCCAAAGGACTCAATATGTTTGGGCGTCCGCGGCTTTTCGGCTTCAGATCGCTCCAGGAAACGTCAGAAAGCCTCGAGAAGCCCCCAAGACTGTCTCTGAAGAGCTTCCACACGGCCCCACAACAGCCGGAGAACTCCCCAAAACAGCCCGAGGCCACCTCAACAGAGCCCCAAGACTCCAAGACGGCCCCAAGAACCGGCAAAGCGTCCCTAAAATGTTTCGGCTGAGGCTCTTCGGGAAAGCTCGGTAGAGCCATCGCTGCCGAGACGGCCCGAAAACTCTGACAGGCCTAAGAATAAGACCAGAAACAGCCCCCAGAGCCCAAAGAAGCCCCAAAGGAGCCCCGGAAGCCTATGAGAGGGGGATCAAGCCTAAGGACAAGGAGGGGGCTTTCAGACAGGGCACCGAGCAGGAGCGGGTCTTGAACTCGATTGTTGCGCTGGCACGGTGGCGGCGTTTGCCGCAAGCAGCTGGATATGATTACCGCACAGATTCCATGACATAAAACCGCATCCAAAATAAGGAGGCGGTCCAGAACCTGGTATGAAAAGGTAAACAATCTTAATGTTGCGCTGCGGAATACTGCAAAGAGACACATACTGAGGATTCGTCAATGGCTTCTTTATTTTTCCGTCCTGTAACCACTGTCCGCCATCTACTGATTCACAAAAAAACTGCAGAGCATAACGGTCCACCGAAGAGCCCAATATCAGTACTGTAGTGTTGCTTCGCAGCAGCTCAACATCGCTTCTATATTGGAACGTGTTCCTCCTTGGCCTCGCTTCCTCCTCCTCAGTGAGTGCGTCAATATGCAACGAACTGATTTGCAATAAGCTAGCAAAGAAAACCTGTATTATCATGGAAAGCAACATGGTTCTGATCTGAGCAAGCCAATGCGGACTGCATAAACATATAAAACTTGAACCTAGCTGGAGTAAAATCGACTTCTCGTAGTTTCGACGACGACTATGCAATGGCGGTGATAATGATGACGACCTCAGTACCCACCCGTCAGAAGAAGTAGGAAGAAACATGAAGTAGGAAGGCGCCGGAAATAGATTGGGGCTCCGCCCGCCCCCTGAAGAGGAGGGAAGAGAGGAAGCCACTCGATCATTGAAGTAGGAAGGCGCTTATAGCAGAATGGAACCTGGGATTCCAGAAATACTTATTTTCAACGACCAATGGGTGATGTTCCTATGCCTTGGATCATGCTATGTACCCACTGTGCCGCGGCAGCCCTCTTCAATAAATGGCTGCTACGGGGCCCAGAAGCACAATTGCTGAACTTCCTGGACGTTTCCGCGTGCCTCGTGGGGTCTGTCGCAGGACTTTGAAGGCCCAGGACGGGCCAACAGAGCCCCAAGAGGCCCCCGAGACGGTCCAAGAGGCCCCACGAGCGTCCAAGATCGCCCCAAGACAGCCGACGATGGTCTCAAGACGGCACGAGAGCCAAGAGGGACACAGGAGAATCCCAAGAAAGCCCCAAGAGGAGTTGCTGCAGGTGTTTGAAGTGTTTCGAGTTGGCCCAAGAGAGATGGCCTGCTCGTCACATGGCACATGTTAGCACATGGAATGCGAAAACAGCACACATTATGATATGTTCGTTACGTGTTAGCACAGGGGGGCGCCAACACACTCTGATACTGTACTCGTCAAATGGCAACGCAATAGAACAGGGCAAGCACTGCGTGACTCGATTACTCGCGCGGCAACGCAGAGGGACGGCCTGATGGCTTTCTTCGAAGCGAAGAGAGCACTTCGGCAGCAAGCAGAACAAGAGCGAGAGCAAGGAGGACTTAGAAGAACGAAGGGAAGGATGAACAGCAGAGGAAGAAGAGGAGAAGAGAGAAGAGAAAAGGAAGGAGCAAGGGATGAGGAGCGCGCGGCCGTCAGGCATACCTAGAGGCGTTAGGCCCTAAGGTTGAGTCAGATAGGAGGAGGAGCGTGGGGGGAATGAGGAACGCGCCCATCGGAAGGTTCAGCGCAATGCCCACAAACGGCTACGACGATGAGAGAGAGGATCACGGAAGAAGGAAAATGACGAATGACAAGGAGAAGAAGGAGAAGCCTTGCAAACGAGAACCCTCGAGGAGAAACGCTACGTGACTGTACATCGCCCATTTTGCCCCTCAGGGCCAAGTAGCCCGACGACAGGCAGCCGTACCCAGAAAAAGCCCATAGACGGATCGTTTGTCAAACTTGATTGGTCCGTGCTCGTGGGGTGTCTTGGGGGCCGGGTCGGGGGATGGTATGATACCTCCTCTCTTCCTCGACGGGACGCTCAAGCCAGTTGTGTTCAGGCCGCTCGCGGGGTGGGCTGCAGCCAGCCCACACTGTACATGCTGCTACCACCCCGCGAGCGGCTGCTCGCGCAAGGCTTGCACACCACGTGGCGTCGGGCCTTCGCCATAGGTCTCGCCTTCTCTTTCTTGGACGACACAGGGCTGCTGGAGTGGGCCCTCGATTCGCCCATCCTGGCCGCCAACGCGAGCGACCCTCTCTCGCGCTACGAGCGTATCTCCCCGAGGCTGAGCTTCACTGAGTACGTTGGCCTGTCTATGAGCTCGGTGCACAGATGGAGTCGGATGTACCGCAACACGGGCGGAGGCCAGGGCGAAGTCGTGCTGATGTTGATGAGGCTCTATCCGAAGAAGAAATGCGACATGAGGTGGATCTATGTTCGGCTAGACCGGAGTTTGGGCTCCGTCGACATCAAGGATCGGTCGAGGACCACCGCCAAGCGACAGCCGAACACCACCTACGCCCATTTCCCCGCCCTGTCCGCCGAGGAGAAAACGGCGGCGATCAAGGCGGGCACCGAGAAGCAGCTCAGTATGGAGTTTGGCGCTGCACGCTGGCGCTCATGGGGTTCTATGCTGGGATGGGCCCGCAGTGTTGCGGTTGCTATGTGGGCGACGTCGTCGTGGGGCACCAGCGGGGGCCTCGTCTTTTTCGCCTGGAGAGCCGCGCTGTACTTCAGGGCCTGGGATTGGGCCAAGTGGACGGTGGAGAAGCTGGACGACACGCACACATTCCTGATGGAGCTGGACGACTTCAGGGCCTACTTGTACGACCTCTACCAGGACGGTCGGTTGGAGTTGCCGATGTTGCTCCTCTCCTTCTTGATGGCTTTCACCCCCGTGCTCTGGAGTCGGTGCTGCCGCCGTGGCCTACCCAGGTTTGGTGGCGCCAGCCCTCCAGGGAGCGATGTGGACAGCGATGGGGAGGCCGGGCATTCGGCTCACGAATCGGACTCGGATCCGGAGGGAAGCAAGGAGGCATCGGAGATGAGGAAGATGATGCAGGACCTGATGGAGGATATGCACCGCGATCGTCGAGACCGTCGCCGCGCGGAGGCGGAGACCGAGGGAAGTTCAGCTCGGGGCGGGAGAGACAGTCCTCGCCGCACAGATGGTCATCTGCATGGAGTCCTGGGTCGAGCGCGGGCAGCTGGGAGCGCATCCCATCTCCTGCCGACATGGGCTTGCATGTCGACCGCATGATGGACCGCCTGAACCAGTTCGAGAGAACCATCCAGGCGGACCGTACATCAGGAGCTCGCCGCGCGGTCGTCGACCAGACGTCGACGGCAGCGACGGCAGGATCAACAGCAGCCCCGACGATCAACTTGGACGAGGTCTCGGTGGAGGAGGTTGGGGTGAACAAAAGGCCGCTGCGCGAGTCCTTGAAGGATCCCAGGGTGCGCCTGATGGAGAACTTGACGAAGCGGAAGTCGGCCCCGACGTTCGAGCTGCCCCCAGGGCTGACGGCCCGCGTCGCCCCCGACCCCTTAGTCCAGACCTACGGCAAGTATGGCAACATGGGCAAGTTCGCGACGCACTGGGTCAAGCAGAAGGAGCTCTACAAGAATCACATCGGCCACGAGGTGCTCTTACACTGCATGACCTTGGATCGAATGCTGGAGGCCTCCCCCGACTTCATCACGACAGCTGGCTGCGAGATCCTGTGTTCGAGGGTCTATGCGCTGAAGAGGGCGTTCAAGGATGTACACGCGATGTCCGCCTGGAAGCAGCCCCGCGGTGCATCAGCCAACAAGTGGAAGTCGAAGGTGCGTTGGGATCTGGCGAACGAGCTGGACTGGCGCTCCGTGATGGACGGGGAGGGGTCTCTTCCGAGCGTCGAGGTGGATCTCACCGCGCGGCTGTAGCAGAAGACGCTGTTCCAGAAGTACCTGCACAAGGCAGGCTCCGAGGGCACCAAGGAGGAGGAGGACTGACGCGGTTTTCTACGTGGACGTTTTCGCCGAGGCCGAGCTCCCTTGGCGCTGGGCGTGGGTGCTGGCGCTTCGGCGCTCCGTCTGATTCGACAGCGGCCGCACACGCGGGCAAAACCTACGCTCCGCGATCTTGGCGGAGTGGCTTGGTCCCTTGGCCCCTTCGAGCTGCTGGCGCCCCGTCGACCACGTGGCGCCTGAGGGCTCACATCTTTCTCTTCAGCTACACTACCTTGGCCATGACGACGTCTGGCGCAGTTCCGCCACCAGAGGCTCGACCTCGCGACCGCGATCTTCAGCCGGATATGCCGCTGCTTCCTTGGGATGTCGTGGCCAACCGCATGGAGTCCGCCCCCCGTGGCACCATCAAGAAGGTGAGGTTTCTGACCAACGGGCTCATTCGTGTCTTGCACTCCCTCTCGCGGGGGGCGGTGGGATCGGTGGCCGGGTTGGGGCCTGCGGCTCCGTGGGAGCGATCTACCTCGCTCCAGAAGAGGACGGCCTTGGAGCTTCTGGATTCGTGGGCCTCCTGGCAGGGCCACATCCACGACGTCGACGTGGACCTGGACGCTGCCGTCGAGCGCGTCTTCGCTGGCCGGGCCTCGCCGTGCGAGGGTGACGCGGTCACCAAGTCCCTGGGCGTGGATTCGAAGGGTCGCCGCGTGCTCCCGAAGGGCGCGATGTGCTCAGTCGACGTGGACGAGTTGGCGCTGCCTGCGCCTGGGACCGCCCCCGTCAAACTGGTCGGAATTTGTCCTCTTGCGGTCGAGTACTTCTCGGACATGGAGGGCCGCATGCTGAGGCGACCCGATTCTGTTATGATGTGGAGAGCCAGATCGTCTACCGGGACCCCGCGTTGAAGTCTCGTGGGGCTCGCTTGCGCCTGGCGGAGCGACTTTGGAGAGGCGGCATGCTGACCTTCACCAAGGAGAAGAAGGAGTCGGTGTCGCTCTTCGGGGTCATCAAGAAGTACGTGGAGTCGGAGGTGGACGGCGACCTGGTCCTGCAGCGGCATGTGCGCGCGATTTGGGACGAGCGACGGGCCAACCTCCGCTGGGAGCGGCCACCCTGCGTGCCGCTCGGGAGCCCCGCCTCATTACCTGGACCTCTCCAATATCGAGGCGGAGGGTCGCGTCTACTCGGCTGTCGGCGACATATCCGACATGTTCTACAGGTTGGAGACGCCCCCGCAGTGTTGGCCCTATTTCTGCTTGGACGAAGTTGGCGTGGACGAGTTCGTGCTCTACATGGCCGAGCGGGCAGTCGACGTCGAGGCGCCAGCCGACTCGGGCTGCCTGGCTCTCAAGCTGCTTGTCATGGGGTGGTCGTGGGCGCCGTTCCTGGCGCACTCCGCCCTGCAGGCGTGCATGGAGACGGCTCTCGGCGAAGGCTCGGTTCGCGCTCGTATGGTGCATGGGTCCCCGACGCCTCAGCTCCACGGCGATGCAGGTGGCTGCGAGGCGCTCAACTGAGCGTAAATGGACGACTACGGCGTGATGGCGAGCAGCACGAGCGCGAAGGGCCGCGAGAAGGAGCTGGTGTCAACATGGCGGCGAAGGTCAAGTCATACGTGGAGTCCGTGGGCCTCGCGGTCCACAAGGAGGAGGAGGGCGAGGGGCTCGAGTCTTTGGGAGCTGTCCTGACGGGCCGTCCATATGTCATTGGGTCGTGCCCGTTGAAGACTTGTCGCCTGGCCCCCGTGACTCTCGCCTTGGTGGAGAGACCCTACTGGACAGCGGCCATGTTGGAGCGCCTCGTCGGGCTCTGGGCTCGGACGGCGGTGTTCCAGCGAACAAGCCTTGCCATCTTCGACGCCCTTCGAGCCCCACTGCTGCATTCCGCCTGTCCGCCGAGGCGCGGGCCGAGCTCGCCGCTGCCGCCTACTGCGCCCCGCTCATGGTCACCTACCTGGAGTCGCTCTGGGCCCGCCAGGCCTTCACGACCGACTCTAACGACGTAGGCTACGGGGTTGCCGTCACCCAGGCCACACTGCAGGAGATTCACGCGGAGTCCAGATACTGAAAGCTGCGAGGCTGGACCATCGCCGCCGAGGACCTCTAGACCAACACCGAGGAGGACGCCTGGCAGGAGGGCTGCGGCGGCTACGCCCACGACATCGACGAGTTGGCGCAGGCCGCGGCCCCAGTCACGCGTGGCCCGAGCGGGCGGGCGTTCCGCTTCCTCTACCTCTTCGCGGGGGTTCGGCGGCCAGGAGACCTCGAGGAACACCTACGGCGGCGCGCGAAGAGCGCTGGCATCCTCATCGAGGTCTGGTCCCTGGACGCGATCATCGACCCGAAGCGCGACCGTACCGACCCCGAGTTTCTGAGCGTCATCGCGAGGCTCGTCGACAAGGGCTACTTCCATGGGGTGCTGGCATCACCCCCGCGCTCGACCTGGAGCCGCGCCCGTTTTCGAGGTCATGAGCCCCGCCCTCTGCGCACACATGCGGAGCCATGGGAGCGCGCAGACATCAGGCTGACCTCATGGGAGCGGCGGCAGCTCGAGCTGGAGACCAAGTCGCTCATGACGGCGCTGACGGTGATCCGCGCGGTCTGCACGGCCGGTGGGGCTGGCCTGTCGGAGCGCCCGTCCGACCCAGGAGAGCCGCCCTACCCGTCGATCTGGGACCTCGTGGAGTTGAAGGACCTCGTCAAAGATTTTGGAGGATGGGTCAACTACCTGGACCACGTGCCGCTACGGCGCCCCCTCCAAGACGCCGACCACGGTCGGCATCTTCGGCACATTCGACAGGAGTGGCGGGGGGGCCGCCGCTCAACTTTGCCTCACCTGCCACCACGAGGGACGCCATCGGGTCACGCTCGAAGGCCGAGAGAAGCCAGGAGGTCCGAGCTTTCGTACCGCTGCTGCGCAGACCTATCAGCCCCAGTTTTGCGATGCCCTCAGCGAGGTCACTGTCGAGGCTTTCCTGCACATGGGGGCGAAGAGGCTCGGACCCGACGCCGAAGGCTCGCTGCGGTCGCCTGCGTCGGCGACGTTGGGGCCATCACGACCTGGGAGATCGAGGGAGGAGGTGCGACGAGGAGATCGGATCCGAGCGCCCCCGTTGTCCCACACTTGGCTTCCGCTGACGAGATGAAGACCCCTCTATTGAGGCAAGTGGCGCGAGACCGAGCACACCAACATCAACGAGACGCGTGCCATCGTGGGCCTCTTGAGACACCTGGCCAAGTCCTCGAGGTCGTGGGGCCTCCGCGTCCTCACCCTGGCCGACAGTATGGTGGCCCTGGGCGCGCTGGGGAAGGGCCGATCGAGCGCCCCAGCGCTGCTGCGCCTGTGCCGTCAGGCGGCGGCCATCACCCTGGCGTTTCGCATCTACGGCCCCTACCGCTACGTGCCGTCCGAGGTGAACGTGGCGGACGGCCTGTCCCGGGGGGGCTTTCCAAGGGCGGCGCCCGAGACCGTGCGAGCGCACAGCGACCGTGCGACAGCGGCTGCTCCGCCCACGTCAGTGGAGGTGCCGCTGGGACACGAGCTGCGCGCCCTTGGTCAGGCTTACGCGGCAACGCGGGATATGCTGGTGGCTGACGCTTCCCATCTTCGACTTGGTGGGGCGCGCGTCGGCTGGCCGCGAGCCTCTGCAGCCCATGGGCACGACCCGGATGACCAAGAGGGGCCCCTTGGCATGGGAAAACTACGCGACGGACCCGAACGCTGGCTTTCTTAGATGGCGTCTTCGCGCGCTTGCTCACGCACTCAGTGGCTGACGCTATACCGCCTCGCAGTGGGCCCCCAAGGTGCGGCAGTTCCTCAACTTCTGTATTCAGCGAGGCTGGCAGCTGACATCCGAGTCGGAGGTCGATCGGGCGCTGGCAGACTACATGGACATCCAGTGCTACGGCGAGCGCAAGAGAGCGACCCTCGGCTCGGTGGTCCTGTTCGGCATGTTGGTGATCTGGCCCGAGCTTCGCAAGAAGCTGCCCCTCGCCCTGAGAAGCCTCAAGAGTTGGCAGAAGCTGGCTGGCAAGAGCGAGGGTGGCCCACTTCCGGGCCATCTACGCGATCACCATCTACATGATCGAGCAGGGGCACTACATGGAGGCCGTTTGGACACTCACGCAGTACGACGTCTACGGCCGAGAGCAGGACATGGAGATGTTGAAGATCGGGGACGTCGTGTGGGACGGCCAGACGTCGTGTGGGACGGCCAGTGCATGGCCCTGGCCTTTGGTGTCTCGAGCCGCGGCGAGGAAGTCAAGACAAACACCAACCAGGGCGCCGTCATTCGGCGGGGCGCGGTCGCTAACCTAGTCCTGGGCTTGCGTGACTTCCGGACGGGCAAAAACGAGAAGCTCTTCGGCATCGACCAGATCCGCTTCCGGAAGCTCTGGCATCAGGCCTGCCGCGCGCTGGGCATGCCATGGGCGCCGCCCCCACATGGGATCCGCCACTCGGGCCCCAGCGAGGACATTGCCCGAGGCCGCGCGTCGCTCGAGCAGGTCAGGCGTCGTGGGAGATGGAAGGCCCTGTCCAGTGTCCAGCGCTACTCCAAGACGTTTGCCCTGACCCAGTTCCGCGTGAGGATGCCAGAGGTGGTCCGTGAGTCGGGCATGCGAGCGGTGCGGGACCTGAAGGCAGAGATCTTGCGAGCCCTGAGGAGGCGTCCACGCCCGCGCGGCAGCCTCCCCGAGGCCCTCGAGAATGCAATCAAGAAGAACCTAGCCAAGGACGCTGCCGCCGAGCTGATGAAGATCAAGAGCTCCAGGGCGCGCAGTTCCACGACGACCAACCAGACCGACGATGACGACCAAGATAGCCCTGGAGGCCTCTTTTCGGACGAGACGTTCGGTGAGGACACGGGCTGGTGGACTGAGTGATGGGGGCGCCCTTCGGGGTGGCTAGGGAGCCAGACGAGGGCGCCCTAGGGACGGTGGCCCACGGGCGCGATCGTCACCCCGCAGTTCGACGATCAGGCGTGGCGCCAGCGTGTGCGTCCTGGACGCCTTTTTCTGCAGCTGCGCTGGACGCCACGACAGATGTTGAGCTTTCCAGCGTCGGGGGTACAAGTAGTGTTTGCGGGCGAAACAAACCTCAAGAGCCACCCGACGCTGGTCAGGCAGTCGCCACCATCTTCTCAGTTCTTTTTGCAGCGTCGGGGGCACAAGCGGTGTTTGGGGGCGAAATATACTTCAAGAGCCACCCGACGCTGGCCGAGCATCGTCAACACATGATCCGTTTTTTGTTGCGGCGTCGGGGGCACAAGTGGTGTCTGAGGGCGAAACAAGCCTCAAGAGCCACCCGACACTGAGCTCAGGCTTGGTGCAGTTCTTTTTGGCCACGTGGAGTGAATTTTTTTTTTCAGGTTGTCGCAGCTTCCCGCCGCGCCCAGCCCTGCTGCGACAACGACGGCGTTGCCAGACAATGGGTGCGGGCATTGGAAGTTCGGGCTCACGTACGTGGCACGTGAGCCGCGTGATGTACGAGTTTGCGACCGCCTGCTTCGCACATCAAGAAGTATACGGCCCATCGGGGCCCTCTTTGTGCTGCTGGAGAGTAAAGGCGTGAATATCGTTGTCATGTTTCAGGTGCTTTGATTTAGTCTCTCAGCTCTCGCTGGCCCCCGCCTTCCCCTTGAGCTTGTAGGGTATATATATATATATATATATATATATATATATATATATATATATATATACACATACCGGACAGAAAGAAAGAGAAAAAAAAAAAAAAAAAAAAAAAAAAAAAAAAAAAAAAAAAAAAAAAAAAAAAAAAAAAAAAAAAAAAAAAAAAAAAAAAAAAAAACGAGACTGCAGCTGGGAAACGCGGCGCCCAATGTGAGAACTAGCGGCGAACACAGGAAGGAGTCGGTGGTAGCTGGGAGACCGTCGCCCACGCTACAGCCCCAGCTTCTCCGTCTGCAGCAAGACGGTTTCTGAGGGAAAGACGAAATGCTTCGGATCTCAGGATCGCGGGACGGGCGACCGAATTCCCAAAATAGAACTGCGTTTCTCAGCTCCGGGATCCTACCCGACTGGACGTTCTCGCATGCTTGCCTTCGCCCAGTTCGGCACCACGGATCGTGCCCCACAGGGGGCTCCCCCTACGGCCCAAACGGGCATCCTCGCATGCAACCCGTATGCGAGGACGCAAGGGGGCTCCTCCCATCTCGGCATACCCCTCAAGCAGATCGTGCCCAACAGGGAGCTACACTTACGGCCAGGGTGGGCGCGCTTGCATTCCGAACCCCGCCCATCTCGGCACAGCCTTCACACGGATCGTGCCCCTCGAAGAGTTCCTGTGGCCCCAGTGGGTTTTCTCACATGCGGGCCTCCTGGATCGTGCCCCAAAGGGAGCTCCAGCTACGGCTCCAATGGATGCCCTCAAATGCGAGCCTCCGCCGACGTCGGTACACCCCCCACGCGCGCCTGCTTCGCCACGCCCTATTCGCACTGTCCCGCACTCCATCCATCTTTACATCCCTGACTTCAAGACGGCCCCCAGCAATCCCGAGATCGCCCAATGGACCAACATGGCCCGACAACTTTCGTAATGTGGCCACTGGATGACTACTCAGCCTGGGAGTCCAAGGACAAAGGACGCAGCCTTTGAGAAAACTGTCCGCAAGTGTAGATCGAGCCGAGGTACCGCGCACGGCAGGCGGCGAGAGGCCCGGGTCTGCTGCGGAAGATTTCTCTATACCCTGATTACAGATATCATACATTTGGTCTGCGCGAGGTCGCATGACGAAAGTTCACATCCGCCATCAACTGCAACTTGCTGTTCCTCACTACCGGTGCGTCAGTATGGCAGCGATTAAACTGGTCGCATCTGGCGCCTTGGTGATCTAGACAGAAGACCCACGGAGCTGTTGATCTTTCGCGGAGACGCTACAAATACAGCACGAGACAATTCACCAGCACGAACCTGTGACCAGTCCAACAGAACCTGCTCATGCGCTGGTTGGGTCCTTGGTACGCACAATAAAGGGAATACACTTTTCAAAAGTTTGAAAATCTTCGCCCGTGGCCAAACTTCTACGTTGTCAGCCAAGCCTTGCGCGCTCGCATCTCCGCTCTCATTCAGCCAAACAGAATCGGGTTCATCATGAGTTTTGGTCTCGAGCATCATGAAGCCACTGACTCTGGATGCTACACGTCTGAGAAATTGTTTGGGCCACCTAAGGTGATACAGCAGCCCATACCATACTGCCACATCCCATTGTCCGATGGGCATGTGTTTGTCCAAATCCGCACTTCGCCTACCTGGTCTTCCTCTCCCCCTCGGGCGTCGACCTGGTCACGTCCCTCCCCGCGCAGCACTCGAGGATGGTGATTCTGACGTGCCGTTGACGGCAACACCACTTCGCTCCCCCTCCGGGACTGCGCCTCCGGCTCCTGTCCAAGGCGTGCCTTATCCTGTGCAAAATCTTCTGCACCGCCTGCACCCCGCACCCTCCGGCCGCCTGAGGCCCCGCCCGCCCGCGCCCTGTCTCCCAAATTAGTGCTTTGCGCGCCCCGCCTAGCTCTTGACCGGAAGAGGCCCGCTCTCGACCCCTCAGACAAAAAAAAAAATGTTTGTCCAAATCCAGAGGTATCATCTTAACTTTGTCAGACATGGGGAAAAGATGACCCATTGCAAGTCTAGAGCGGAGCAACAGGAGATTTACGCATCGCGGTTCCACGACTGTCACGTCGGACTCGGCACCCAGCTATGGGCAATGCCAGCATGGCCAAGTGTTCCAACCTTCGCGCAGTCAAACGTTGTTACTGCTGCTCTAGACCAAGCATCAC